AAAAAAAAAAAATTAAAGATAGACCAGGAATTTTTATTCTTGTTTATAATATTTGGAAAAGAGTATCTATTATATTTCAAAAGGAGTATCATGTCTTTAAGAAAACTGGGAAAAGTTTGACTCACACTGTTTTAAAAGTTAATACAGCTATATATAATAAAATTTAAATTTTTACATGCCTCATTTTTCTCTTGCAATGCGGGTATTACATTTATAACTCAGAATACAAAAAAACCTTATCCAATAAGCCTTGATCCAATAAAGCCAAATTAAAAAGTTACATATACACATTCAAGATAAGAAATTAATAACCCAATAATGCACAAATTCAGAAAGGTCACTTTTGCATGTTCATGTTAAGAAAATAAATAATCAAAATCAAAGCTTTGGGAATGCTCAAACTAAATGGTGGTATATCTAGTGTACCCGTAATCTGTATCAGATTCCTCCTATGCATGAAAATATCGATAAAACAGAGTGCCTCCTCCCAAACCTAGCACAACAAAGGCAACACACAGGGAAATTGGTCGCATTATTAACCTCTTTCTCTCTTGCCAAAGTTCACTGACTCGTTGCTTTTCTACCATGGCCCTTTAAACTTTAGCGGGCGGTTGTTTGCTGTCCGGTCCATTCGTTTCCGTCGTCGAACATCCTTTTCGTTAACCCTATAAGAGAGAAAGAAAAACATGATCTATTTTAGTTACAAAAAAAAAAGAAATGCAAATGTTTTGTAACAATGTAACGGAAAAAGACAGACAAGCAAGAAAGAATCCATTACCTGTGTGACTCCAAAACTGGCTTCACCCTTAACCGTAAACGGTCCCAGCAGATCTACGTTCCATGTGTAGTGCTACAAAAGTAGATCTACTTTTTTTACATATTTTCAAATGTAAAAAAAAAAAAAAAGTATATCAAAGTTTTTTTTACACATTTTCAAATGTAAAAAACAAAAAGATGATCTATTTTTTTTTACTTTTACTTTCAAATGTTGAAAAAACGTATATATACGTTTGGACCGTTTATGGGTTAAAAAGCACGTTTCCAACAATACTGACATTCACATTACCTCCAATATACAGCTCCAAGGCTTTTTTTTTTGTATCTACCTTATAAAATAAGCAGAGGAGCTATAAATTTTTTAGGAAAAATCTGAAAACACTTGTTGCATCATGCACAGTCATACCTCACTAATAAAGGTTAGGTTCCAAGTCACCACTGTAAAGTAAATATCAAACCCCAAAGTGAGTCACGGCCTTTTTTTTTTCACTTGCCCTCATACAAAAGCCTAAAAACATGTTTACATTATCATTTATCGAGTGCATTAGGCCTAAAAAGATGCAAAGATAAAAATAAAATTAAAACTGCCAAAAAACCTTTTTGAGAGCACGACAAACACCGAAAAAAATAAACACTAAATATAACCGAAAGCCCATATTAACAAGTGTTTTAAAGGAGGGCTGTATTAACAAGGTATGCCTGTATTGAATGGTTGGTTCTCAACAGTGTCATTTAGCCAAAACAAAAAAGTGAAACTTTTCACTGAACCTCTGTATACTTTTAAAAACAAGTAAAGGGATTCTTATCTGGTATTAAATTTCATTAACCCTTCCAGGGTCCGTGCTGTAGTTCTAAGACTTTGAGATGAGGGTCCAAACCGTAGTTCTATGCCATGAGCTCAGCTCACTCCCGATAAGCTGTGAACGGTAAATATGGGCCTACATATGAGAGAATACATCTATGTGGTAAGTGTGCACCACATAAAACAAATCCTGCAGCATGCAGTGCATAATGAAAAGAAAAAAAAAACTGAGACCATAATTTTGCATTAAAACAGTAACTTTGCAGTGTTTTTTTTCGTATGTTTCTTTATAGTTGTATTTGCATTTGACAAGTGGAAGATTATTACAGAAAGAGAAATGATTTTGATTGGTTTTAATACTGGAAATGGCTTGAAACTGAGCTCAAAGTAGCGGAAATGTTAAATTTTTGCCGAGGGTTCAGAGTGAACAAATAACGTCACACATCTAATAGTGTCACTGGTGGGTCTAATATACGTTCACGAAATGTGGCGATAATGTTTTTTACCAAATTACAATAATTTCATAACAGTAAATCTTCCATTTTTTTATTTGAATAAAATCCATTTTGTGAATAAAAAATCAAAAAGGAATTTAATTTGTAAAGCCTGAAAATGTAACTAATAAACAGACAAAATGTTAGTTTTGTGCCAGTTATCCCTGCATTGTTTATTCTGGATCCTATTTTGAAATTGGAATATTTTGAACTTCGTGTTAAATTGGCTAAATTACCAATTTCCAATCACTATTTTATAGTTTGAAACAGTTTGACTGGGCGATTTCTTGTGCTCAATTCGATAGAACAGAAGTAATACTAGCGAAATATCTGGGAAATTTTGGTCGACTGGAATAATGTAATTGACCTAAAATAAGTCAAAGTGGGCAAAATCGCTGACGTGTAAATATCGTTTTTAAACATCAAAATTCGCGAGTTAATTTT